CATAAGTGTAGTAATGGCAGTTGTCATTCAAATAATCAAGGAAATTGTTGTCTGTATCAATATCTGTGTCTATATTCATGTGTATATTTTCAATTTATTACTGGATATCAGAAAGTTGAGCAGAAGTTGCCTGGTTGTCTTGTTTCACTGATATTTATCCAGCTCTTCAATTTGTCTGATGATCAGTACCTTGGCTTCCTCCGGTGAACCGTTTAATTTGATATAAACCTTGCAGTTCAGTTTGATGTCCATGTTGACTGTATTTTCTTTTGTTTTCAGAGAAAACGTGCTCGTCTTGCTATATCTGCGTTCATTTTTGTAAGATGCTCGTTTATATAAACATTGGATCCTTTTAATTTCCTCCCTGGTTTTAGGAGTGCATTTTTATGTCTTCTGTTTGTAAACCTCATTACAACGGCAGGTTTAACTCCTTTGTTTTTTTGTGAAAGAGGATGACAAGCTTCAAAAGCATTATTATCAATGATGACTGTTGAAGATTTTGACCTCTGTTGCTGGATTTTCTTAAGTGATCACTATAGGGCTTCGGTCAGAAAGCACACTGGTCATCAGGGTATTTAAATGGTTTACTGAAGAATTACTGAAGAACAGTGCAAATAAATTGAAGCAGTTTCTGAAAATACAATAATAATACAGATTCAAATTACCATTTAAAAATTAACATCAGTGAGCAAACAAACTTTAATTATCAGCATTAATTCCTTTCTAAAGCACTGTTTAAATTTGAATGATGCAGAATAGCACCTGGAATCAGTCTATTTCCAACTGCCCAAATCTCAAGACCAACAGCCAACAGCCAAATACAAAGATAGTTTCAACACTAAATCCCAACCAAATTGAGAGGAAAACAGACATTCTAAAACTATAGAAACGCACTTGCGACCAAGAAGCGCTGTCAGAAGGGACAACTAACATCCACCCATTCATGACACATGACTAACACCACAACTTACATCGTCAATGACTGCGGCACCAGTCTCAACAGTAAACAACAAACAGATCAACTGAACATCAAGAAGAAGAAATAAACGGAACAAACCTCCTTCCAATAAAAGGAACCACTTCAAAATAAAAGCATAGACATGAGTCATTGAAGTACTTGAAGAATTAACAACAATGACGCCCTTTTTACTGAAGAATGTTCTTACCTGTTTTTCAAAAGATCCTTGATCTTCATCCTGTAGAGGAATATAATTATATTAAGTTAAAAGTCGGTTGATTCACATTAAGATATGTTTTGACTGAAAAGAAATGTACTGTGTCAAATGTACTGGGTCAATCTGACCTAGAAGTCAGAAAGGAATTCAGATTGGAGAGATGTGGAATAAGCAATCACCAAAGAAGGAAAGGTTAAGTTGTTGTGCAAAAAATTTCTGCTTGCGTCCTTTCCTGCTTGCGTGCGAGAAAGTCAGCCAGGACTGGGAAGAATCTTTGTTTGGACAGATAAGGAACCAACAACTTAACTAACAGTTCTTCTGATGGAGCAGATTTAATTTCCAGGAGGTCAACCCCTAATTCTTGGAACTTCCAACACACATCCAGTGTAAGACGGAGCCAGAATTGCTACGCAAGCGAGGTTCGATAACCCCATTGGTCAAAGCTTTCCAATACACAACAGTAGGGCTGGAATGGTATAAAAACTTGATGAAAATGTAATGTGTGAATCCACAGATGTGCGTTAAATGTCTTCCTGTTTGTCTATGAGCCGGAGGGAATGGAGTTTGTGTATTGTTTCTTTATGTATTTCATGAGTTTAGCACCTTTAAATTCCTCTATAATCCCTTTTTTCAGTAGTGTTTGCCTCTGTCACGCCCTGGCATATGATCGTGCCATTTTTATTTCTGAAAGGTGGCAACCCTAGTAGGAACCAAAGCAGCGAAAGTTCTGAGAGATGAAATAAACACGTTGTTGGAAAAAAGAGCAGTGCGTGTAGTTCCCACTTCGGGAAGCAAACAGAGGTAGGTACAGCCGCTGTTTTGTTGTTCCAAAGAAGGGAAGTGGACTATGTCCCATACTGGAGTTAAGAGTGTTATACAAGCACCTTCGCAAGTACAAATTCAAAATGCTGATGCTGAGACAACTTTTGAACTCTGTCAGTCCAGGCCATTGGTTTGCAGCAATCGATCTGACGGATGCTTACTTTCACATAGCAATTCACTCAGAACACAGGCTGTAGCAGACCCCCCCACACCCCCAATGAAGGATTTTGGCTTTACTAATGAACAGCCAGGTTTATTGAAGTATCGTATTTTCCGGACTATAGTCCGGAAAATACGATAAAAAAACAGTATAACCGTAAAAAAAAAAAAACGTGTGTTAAAACTGAAAACAACGTTAACTACTAACAACATCAACTGATTAGTTGATGTTGTTAGTAGTTAATGTTGTTTTCAGTTTTAAAATGTTACGGTTATACTGTCTTTTTGTGTTTGTGATTGTGCAAAAGCTCTTACGAAAACTATAGCATATTTAATTACAATAAAGCAAAAATCACAATTCCAATTGATGAATATTAGAAATATCCTAGTTACAAAATAGTAACTAGGATAGTTATAGTTACTATAGTTACTATAGTAACTATTATAAGCCGCAGCTACAAATCTTTTGAAAAAAACTGGAAATGTACATATATAAGCCACACCAGGCTATAAGCCGCGGGTATCTCCGCTGCTCTCAGTTTTCCATAAGGACTCAGCAGAGGGCTGCGTCCTAATAAATCTGCTAGATTTATTAGCAGCCTCCAAAGCCTAACCATGGTTTTGTTCATGCCGAGTTACGTACAGCGGTTCTATTTCCCTCCTTTACTGCCAGATCAATAGCCTTCAACTTAAAAGCTGCATCATGTGAGTTTGAAGAATTTTTTTCCTTCATGTCTGCTGCTAGCATGTGCTTGTTTTAAATGAAAATGTGCACTTTCTTCTTTGATTTCCAATTTTGACTTCCAATGATTCACTTTCTGCTAAAGAGCCCCCTGGTGGTTGAAGAAAAATCCACAGAAAAGCCGCACCGGGCTATAAGCCGCAAGGTTCAAAGTGTGGGAAAAAAGTAGCGGCTTATTGTAGAGGTGAGGGGGATCTGGACATTAACCCAATCCAAGCTCCACATAAATTACCTGGAGTTGCTGGCGGTCCAGCTAGTTCTAAAGCATTTTTGCAAGGTTCTGATGAACCACCATGTTCTGATGAGGACAGACAACACCACTGTGCCCCCTTGTCCTCAACATAGACAAGGGGGCACTCATTCACTTCCCTTGCTGAAACTATTGCAAACTATTGCAGTGGTGCAGCGTTCACTTTCTGTCTGTCAAAGCAACTCATGTCCCCTGGTGCCTGAAATTGGGGGTGGATCTGCTGTCCAGGGGGGTCCACTGGTGAGGGAGTGGAGCCTGCATCTATGCGTGGTTGTGCAGATTTGGCAGCGGTTCGGTAAAGCTTCAGTGGATCTCTTTACCACCAAAGCAAACACCCACTGTCCCCTATTCTTTTCCATAACGGATCACAGTACTCCACTGGGAGTGGATGCCCTCGCTCACCCATGGTCCAAATTGCTTCTGTATGCATTTCCCCCAGTGGAAATGATTCTGCCAGTGCTGGAGAGAGTATGCAGATGGGGCCTGTCCTTGATTCTGGTGGCCCCTCGCTGGCCAGCAAAGTCATGGTATGCAGAGATAATCAGCTTGCTGGTACTGAAGCCTTGGAAACTCCCCGCCAGCTGGGATCTCTTCTCCCAGGCAGGGGGGCAAGTATTTAATCCACACACAGAAGTGTGCATTCCTACTTGCTGAGAGGTTCAGCTTGTTGGCTAGAGGCCTCCCTTTAGATGTGGTTGCAACCATTCAGAGTTCCAGAGCAACTTCCACTTGGGGTTTATAGGCCTATAAATGGTGGGTTTTTGAACAGTGGTGTCACAGCAAAACCATTTCCCCCTTCCAGCACTCCATTGTGGATGTTGGAGCTGCTGGATAAAGGTCTGTCTTTCTCCACAATTAAGGTTTACTTGACTTCCATCTCTGCTTGTCATGTTGGCGTTGATGGAGGAACACCAGGTGCTCATCCCCTGGTGGTGCGTTTCTTAAAAGGGGTCCATAGACTGAGACCAAGATAAAGTATCTGACTGATCTTGGATGCTCTTCGTAGCTCTCCACTTGAGCCCCTTGAGTTGGTTGATATAAAATTTATATCATACAAGACAGCTCTGCTTCTTGCCTTGGAGACTACAAAGCGGGTTGGGGACCTTCATGCACTTTCAGTGCATCCCTCTTGTGTTCAGTTTTCAGCTGGTTTAAAGGTTACCTTAAAGCCAAATGCTGCGTAACTCCCTAAGGTGATTCCTTCAGATTACAGCACAATGACTATTGAGCTTTCTAGTATCAGCCTCCTTTTGCTTCTGAAGAGCAAGGAAGGTTGCATTTGCTGTGCCCAGTACATGCACTGCGACTTTACATCAATTGCACTTAGGATGTGTGACTGTGTGATCAGCTGTTTGTGTGTTTTGCCAATCCAACTAGAGGCAAGGCTCTGTCCACGCCGCGGGGTGTGTATATATGTCCTATACTCTATGTGTTGTACCGAGTGAATCGACTGAAAGAGAATGTAATGTTATGCATATAACTACTGTTCCCTGAAGAAGAGGAATGAGGTACAAAACCTTTTTCTGCCCCGCTGTTCAGCTTGGCTCGGTGAAGAGCGGCCATCGAACTGAATAATGACTGTGATGGTGGTGTATTTATATGCAGGTGGAGCCTGCCACCCGTCATCGCACATCATTTGCCTAAAGGCATGACTAAAGGTGTTTTCAGTTAAGCCACGTGGGGGCATGATATCCCATACTCTGTGTTGTACCTTTTTCTCTCCTTCAGGGAAAATAACATTACATTTTGTGTTGGCCATAAAACTATCCCAACCTGGTCAAGGAAGCATAATAGATCACCTTTAAAGGGCCATAAACTAAGCTGAAGTTTGTTTCCTATCCCTTTTGCTCAGGTCAGGGGAAAATGATGTAGACTTCATGGGAAACCTGGAGACAGAAGAAGGAGAGCTTTCTGAAGACCTGGCTGGAGCCACAGGTATGATTCAAACAGCTGCTACTTTACATGATTGATTCCACGTGCCACTCCCACAGCTATTAATCCTGTTGTTTGGTAGCATCTGTCCTTGACCCTAACCCGCCCCTTTCTCACAGGTTAGTGCACAGGCATTTCAATACCATTTGAAATGGCATTTCAATACCAAATGCGGAGCAAGGCTAAGTTCATGTTAGTCAACATGCTTTTTATTCTCCACATGCTATGGACTATATTTTAGCTAAGCTTAGCACTGATGCTAATTTTTAGCATCAGAACGCTGGGTTCCAGGCCTTGTTTAAATTTCTTCAGAAATGTTCTAGTTTTAATTTGTTGTTTTTAAGATTCTATGGTTGTGGGTTTAAGTGTTGTCAGCAATGTCTTCCAGTAATTACCCAGTAATATTTTTATATTTCCTGTCAACATCTTTTAATACAAAACCCCGGTGGACTGCCTCGGTGCCTAGAGCACCAGGCTTAGCAAGTTTTCTTGTAGAAACCCTGTAAAGCTGGATTTTAAAATTTCCATAGGATATCGATGAGTGCTAATCATAGCAAAAGTTTAAAATAGCTTTTTTTGAAAAGAAGACATATGATGTATGAAGTATAACAGCTAAAAGTGAATCAGGCAAAATGCAATGGACTAAAAACCTAGTAAAACACAAAGCAAGCAAAGGAAATGGTTTTCTTCTTGAAAATGCAGACACTTCATCCATACCACAGGCCTTATTGTTCTTTAGGCTTATGACTGCATTATAAATTTCTTGAACTGAAACTATCACTTCATCATGACTGATACTTTCCAACATATATGGGGAGATTTTAACACAGTTAAATAGTTCATAATAATGCTGCTACCACATTTGAGTAATTTCCTCTACTCCATTTACACCATCAATATTTACTGGCAGACCTGCTTTTTAATTAATAATTTTCTTTTCTTCTAGAAATCATGTGTGCAGTTGTTTTTCATTTTCCTTGCAATAAGATTTGACTTGATTGTGTCCTCATTTCTTTCAATAAAACGTAGGGCATATTTAAAATTTGCATTGCCAGTTTCTTATACTCCATGCCTCTGTCTGCCTCTCACAACTAACTAACCCTAACCCACTTCAACTCAGTCCAACAGTTGTGGATTTGACTCCAGCTTTGGACAATTTAAAATATTTGGAGCTCCATACATTTCCCCCATCCTTTTATCTAAACGTTGTACCAGTCTAACAAAACAGCCAATCACTCACTCTGTCTAACTAACCAACCATTCTGTGTTACCAACCAACCAACCAACCAACCAACCAACCAGTCTCTTACCAATCAATATACATAAGATATATTTCCAGTGTAGAAATATATCTGGTAAAATGACTGGGAAGATTTTTGATACTTGGTACATAGTAAACCATGAAGCTCACACGTTTCTTCATAGAAATCAGAGCCATGTGAACCTGGGGCTCTATCATACTTTCTCATTGGCAGGTGGATTCAGTTCCAGCATGCTCTCATCGCATCGAGGCGCGACTGCAGGTCGTAGTAGCGGCGGGGCCGCAGCTTCTGCTGCTCCCGTTGGGGGTGCTGTTGGGCCAGGCAGCAGCAGCCTTCTGGAAATCGATCCAGTCATCCTGATCCAACTGCTGGACCTGAAGGAGCGCAGCAGCGTGGAATCTCTGTGGGGCCTCCAGCCTCGACCTCCAGTGTCTCTGCTCCACAGCCAAGGTCAGGACACAAAATATAAATTATTGTGAAAGAGATCGATACTCAGAGTTTCTGTTAAATAAAATGTGATCATGTAGCTCAGATTTAAGCCTGACAGTCACATTTGACAGTTATGCAGATTTTTATTTCTTTTAATGTTTTTACAATGTCTTTTAGTATTTAAAATCAAGAACAGATTTATTTTAAAATCATGAGATATAATTGACAAAGAAAAAAACTAATTTGTTGTCCTGTTACATGAAAACACAACATTTTACCGAGTATTTTAGTCTAGAGTTCTGATGCAAATATCTTAGTAACCTTGAAATAAGGTAACTTACAAGTAAATCTTGAAAAATATATAGAAGTTTGTTTTAAGTTAATTCCTTAATATTGATTAAAATCTTTGTTTTAAGTTAATTCCTTAATATTGATTAAAATCTTCTCTAGTAAATTAAAGTGAAATAATCTGCCAGTGGAACTGTAGTTTTTTTTTTTTTTTTTAGAATAATTTATTTTGGATTTTAGTAATAACATCACAAGTATTAACTGACAGGACAAAATTGGTTCACAATAAAACACAATTCAAACAGTGAGACATACTTGAAGTAAAATACATTTACAATAATATAACACAACAACCAAATGACAAGAAGGACTGGGTGGGAGTGGGTAAGGTGGGGGAGGAGGGTAATCAATAAGGTTGAAATAGGAACTCTAGTGCCTATTTCATCAGTATTAAGGAATTATTGATTTAAGACAACATATCTTTATCTTGTTGAAAAGTTACTTATGTTTTCGCAGGGAAAGCTGTTGAGCTGTTACATTATGACATCACATAATAAAAGCCAGACATGATTTCTGTACTCTGAAAACAGAAAAACAGCATGGATGGCTTCTGTGATCAGTCTAATGATCTAATGGCAGGAATATTAACTAAGTTAAAGAAATCCAAACTTTAAAAAAAAAATTTTTAATAAATGCTACATTTCCAGCATAAAATGTTTTTTTAGATATATTTTCTGAAATAAAGAGTAATAAATTTCTATTGACATAAACATGCAAAAATGAATGTATGATCGCTAATATGTTCTAATATCTGCCCCTTATACACATAAGAGAATTAACTATTCAGCTCAGAACACAAATATATTTCAAATTAGGGCTGGGGGATGTAATTCGCGATATTTTCTATTTGCGATAGTTAAAATGGCTATATCGCAACTATCGAGTATAAATTGTCGCTTAAATAATAAACTTTCGCCGTCAAATTCACTGCGAGTACGGTTTATCCCAGTGTTTTTCAACCTTTTTTGAGCCAAGGTATACTATTTTAATTTAAAAAATCACAAGGCACACCACCAACCAAAAATGTAAACAAAGATACTCTGTAGCCGCCTATATTACATATAGT